AACTGTAAGTAACTTTAAACTATCATGCACTTTTCATGTTGGAAGAAAAGTCTTTTTTACTTGTTCTGTAAGTGAAGTTACAGTGCTCGATCGGAAGTAGCATTTTTTTCTGGCTCAATAATGCGACACATGTTGGAAAGATTCGTGAAATTGCTATTTAAAGCGTTGTTTTTTGCCACATGGGTTACAGAATAAAACAGTGAAGCAACATTAAGTACCCGCATGTGAGTATCGATTGCAAGTGTTCATAAATGTTTAAGCTTATTCTTTTAAATTAACATTTATTGTTTGCCACAATCTTTTATCGGCGCAACACAACGATGATTATTTTTCATTTTGAAGAATTCAAAATCATCTTTTGTTATTAGTTTTGCAGTAGAACAGAAGTTCCATTCGAATACAGCAGAAATGTAAATACTACTAAGCAATCTTGAATTCAAGTTTTTAAGTTTTCCTGTTTTGGAAAATTAGTGCAGTGATGAAATTGACTATTTTCTGGATGATCTTTCTCTTCTATTCATAGATTATAAATGTGTTATTTTTATTGAGTTGTCTATATCTTTCATTGCTGATTGAAGGGTCGATAGCCGGTTGTATATACATAAATAAAAACGAGTGGTAGCCATTTTGAAAAAAATTCAATTCTGTTAGTTCGACTTCAACCTTATTTATACAGCAATGATTATTCTATTTTTAGTAATATTATCTAAATTTTAGTAATAACAATGTGCAGAAAAGTCTTTTCATAAAGAAGATATTATGAGTGCAAGTGATATTGCAGCGAATTTCAAAATGGCATTTCCGAATGACACCATATTAGTTCACACATACAAAACTGGCGGTGCCTGTACTTACTTTGGGACTGAATTGCTGTCTGTTAAATTGCAGAATGGAAGCACTCTACAAATTTTTAAGCTATCAAAGTCATCAGGAGAACACATGAATGCAGATCAAGTTAAAGTCAATGCATTTCCCTTCGTTTATGAGTCAAGAAACATAACTGACGGTGAAAGACGACGTGATATTCTTTCGCAAAAACTAAAGAAAATGTTCCCAAATCATTACGTCAACGTGTTTATTTTCAATGACAGCGGCTGGGCTCGTCAAAGCCATAACACAAAAGGCACTGCATACTTTGAAAAAGATTATGGATCCGAAGTGGATATTGTGTTGAGCTAAAAGATTTTTAGTGGGTCTTGTATTTTTATTCATGAATTCTTATTTGAAAAAGAATAATGTAAAAGTGTAAGCGACGCAAAGAGCAAATTTATGAATGCTTACTGTGATGAAGTTAAATTTTCGCTTTGAAGTTGCCTTGAATAAGAGTGTGAGTGTGGGGTGTGGGTGGATGTGAATAGTAGTGTGTAGGTGTGTGCATTCTTATTATTCAGCCCACCCACACTCCTACCCTCACACCCTATTCTTTTCGCTTAAACCTTTGATCTTTAAAAGCTACTAAATCATACGATTGAATTCTACTTCAATTCACAATAGAGGTCTTTTCGCGTAGACTAGGTTCAACAAGGAGGCTCAAATATAACAGATTCGGACCAGTTGCCTACAAACTGAATCTTCTGCCAATAGTTTTAGTTGAGATATTTTCTCTTGCATTTTATCAGATAGAGCGCACATGATTGTATTACAAATACTAGTTTGAAGCTTCTGAATAATGTTTTGCTAGTAGGAAGAAACAAAAATTCTGTCTAAATAGAAATGTATTAAAAGTTCTTGATGTTACATGTTTCCAGTTTTAATAAAACTATGTTTTTAGTTTAACCTCCATGATGCCTATTTAGATATAGTTTTGTCGAGAATTAAATACTGAATCTTTTGAAAAAAATGCAGTCATAAACAATGAGAATTGAAAGAGATATTTAGAAAATACTGAGAACGCCATTTATTCTGGCTCAATCATTAAATTGATTTCTTCTATTATAAGAAAACCGACAAATTTAAGCGACTGACTTATTTAGAAGCGATTAGTATGTAAGAAGATTTGAAGAAGAATTATAGGGTAAAATAAACCCCATTGGCCAAGTCTTTAGTCTTTTTCACCTATATTTCCAAAGAAACATAACTGATTTCTTCAAATGAAGTGTCACATTCTTAACCATGGTCCTTTATCTCGCTCCAATTAGAGCAGCGGTAATAGCACCTGCAAGATTCAAAATGACGCCTACAATACTAAGACCACCAGCAGCACCAACATTCGCACCAGGGATATCCTTAACAAAATTTAGGCCAACTGCCATTCCAATCAGACCGAATACAAAGCATACGACAGCCAAAACTTTCCCAGGGTGTGGCGTATGGATGTGGGTGGGTATGGATTTCGGTGTGGAATGTGATTATCAATTCAGATCAGAGGGAAACTAAAACATACACTCACCCACATCCCGACTTGGTTCAACCAGGATCATGGTATTCAGCGGTACAGTATTGTTTGTGAAATGATAATATTTTTTTGGATAGTGTGCATTGACGGGAAAAAAACAAGTAAAGTTGTGTTATAGTCAAGGGGGAAGGAGCGAAAATGCCGTACTTCAGCGTGCTTCCTATACTTTCAGACTATGTGATAACTGTGCAACAGATCTCTTTAACTATTTCAAGTCTACTATCGATCTGTGTAACGGTATATTAGCCGGAGTCCAGTCTACGTAAGTCTATCTGAGAAAAAAGCCCAAAGACTTCATGGTACTTCCGAATTGTAGGTACCGTGAAGTATGTAGGCTTTAGGGTAAGGTTGACTTCAGTAAGCTGGACTCCGGCTAATGTACCGTAACACAGATCGATAGTAGACTTGAAATAGCTAAAGAGATCTGATGCAGAGTTATGACATAGTCTGAAAGTACAGAAAGTATGCTGAAGTACGGCAGCTTCGCTCCTTTTCCCTTGGCTATAGTGCATATTTTTGCTACCTTCGATTCACGCTATTTTGCATCCTCAAACTGTTCGAAGAATGAATAATAGAACGAGCAAAACGACGATGATATTTTATGGAAAATAAAACATGTATTGGATTAATATATCATTAATAAATGATAGAGTAAGCAAAAGGACGATAGTACTTATATGAAATAAACAACGCATCTCATGAATATTTGATCGTTAGTTATTTCACGGACACGCATGAAGGCCCACAAACGAAACTTATATTAGTGATGTATATATAAGCGATGTCTTATTTTTATTTCTAGTATGGAATAACGTTAGTATATTAGTGTTATTTTGGTCGTCAGCACAGGAAATTTCTTATAATACAGAGAGCCAAGGTAAGTGTTTTGGAGTTGCATTTTCCTTAGAGGGCGGTTATTATCATTAGTATTAAGGGAATTTTTCTATTTTTAGATAGTATCACTAAGCTTATAATATACTTGTTTTTTCGTATCGTACTAACAAATAACGCTCGTCGGCAGGACTTGCTTAATCCTCGACTGAATTCAATCTTGTTATCATCTGTTATCGCTTTCTGAGTTCTGCTTTGACAATTATTGTGCAACACATGCACAGACGAAAATTTGTCTATAGTATTGTCAGTGATAATTATTTTGTAAAAGATTCGAACCTTTACATTTTCCCTTCTGAATATCTAAGATTTACTTAATCGGACAGCTCGCAGTCGATTGTCATGATTGAATTAAACCCACCCCTCAATCCTCTTACACTGTAGTCCGAGGATGTTTGCTCTTCCTCTCAAATTTTCACTTTCGTCTAGAACTGCTTTTTCGGACTCTACTTACGAGAGCTAGATATCGAAAACAAATGACCATCGATCTTTTGGTCGATGTTTTTTTCATCCTGACGCATACAAGCTTATATTATTTCATATGACCCTTCCCCTACAGTCGAGTGGATAATTTTCCTGCTGACAAAAATATTCTGAGGTTCTGTATGAAATGAATAGTAAATGTTAACTGTTGTAAAGTCACGCTTGTCACAGAACGTCTGTAGCAAGAGTTGTTCATCAGATTGTTGTGTAGCCCCACGTAGAAAAAAACTGTTCAACATTATGTTCTTTTACCATGTGAAAAGGTTTGACCTCGCTGAACATTAGATATGATACTGTACAGATAAAAAGTGTTTTAAGAAATTTTCGTAGAGGAATGTATTATCAACAGGATTTTGACGAAGAATTCGCTTAGGATATTGCCGGCAGAGCGAATATTCCTAAGTAGATAACAGCTGCTTTTCTGATACCAACAAGATTCGAGTGGGTATGTTTTGCAAAAAACCGTATTTCTACTAAAATGACTTTGTGGTTAGGATGACCCGAAAAATTCTGAAGTCATAATGACGAAGTTGGATAATGGGCTCATTTGATGCTTATGTTATTCAATAGTCCCATGATGAGGACAAAAATCACAAAAGTTTCTTCAGTAAAATATGATGGGCGCGCGGTTCTAGAATAGGAGTAATTTCATTGAAATATCCCTAGCTCTACAACTTCAATTTAATAGGGTGTGCGTGTGGGTGTGGGTATGGGTATGGGTGTAGGTATAATCTTTATCCGCACTCACACCAATGCCCAACACCCGCACCCACACCCACCCTTTCGTCAACCTTTATAAAAATTCATTCTTTTCTCAAAAATCATTTTCATAAAGCAAATAGGAAGGACTGCATTTTCCGTTACCCCCGTTCCAGGGTAACTGGTAACGGGCCGTTACCGTTCCCGGGTAACGGTCTCGGAACGATAACTTCCCACCCCTAGTTGGAACCATACTGCCATCGCGACACAAACAGACACTTTTCATTTTCTAACAATGTTAAGTCGTGATCTCCACTATCTTTATTATCAGAACAATCAAACTGACGCTCACATTTGTACACACAAAAGCCAAAGAAGTGCAGATAATAGCAAAGAACAATGAAAACAAACAGGGACACCCCGTCCAGGAGTAGGATTAATGATATCGTCGGATAACAAATTCTCCAGTTTGAATGCCCATGTCCAACCACTTTGAAGTGAATGGAGTTTGATCGTTGACACATCGATCACAATGCCACGCTCTCCACTAGCTACATGCCATGGAAGTGAATCAGCACTTAAACCTAGAAGTGTCACAACTGTTCTCGAGGAACTCAATGGAGCACCGAGTGTAATTTCGGTAGTATTCTTTGGCCATATAAGAAGAAAAGCATAGACG